AAGCGCAATGTCACCGCACCGTGCGTATTTATCTCGTTCAAAGCAATCCAGATCGTTCTCGAACACTAACGCGCTGGTCCGGCTGGTCGGTTCTAGCCGATTCTAGCTTAATGGCGTCAGCGGCAGATCGCTCACCGCAACTTTGCCGCTGTTTATGTTTAATATTATGACAATTAGATTTTTTTGTGGAATTTTCGGAAGCTTCTCTGATTTTTGCAGTTTGTATTTTTTAAATTAAAATCGTTGTGAGAGCTACCAGAATTGCCTCCGCGAGCTACCGGTAGCTCGCGATCGACAGATTGGCGACCACTGTTTTGAGTAGTTCAGGAAGTACCTGTGTTCTCAACAAATATGTTCTCAATTTGTAATGAAATTGCCATGCTATTTATCACCAACTTTTATCAATGTTTCAATTTGAGAGAGATTTTGGATGTGTTACATTATTTGACACGGAATCAGCATCATATTTGTTGTATATTCTTGACAGACATGCAAGAATGAATAAATACTCGATCGTTTAAAAATTTAGACATGTACTATAAATGTTCTATTCTAAGAATTAGCTAGCGTTCCAATCAATTGATAAGAGAACGTCCATTCTATGAATTGGCGGATATACAATTCTATGATTGGGCGAATGCTCAAGTCGTTAAAATGGCGGATGCTATACAGCGCATTCGCCACATTTTGAGCTTTGATTCACCTTGACCGAAACTGCTAAGGTTGACCGGAACAAACAAGTGGAGGTATTGTGAGGTCCCACGTAAGCCCAGGCAGGATTTCTCTTGTTTTGATCGTGAATTCGAAGTAGTTCAGGAAGTTGTTGTGTTTGCTTTTTCCAACCTATGTCAACAAGGGTGGTTTTGTGTCTACTAACTACCGGAATCAAGCATTTCGTTTAATGAATTTCAAATGACCGAGTTGTTTTAACTTTCTACGCTGAGTCACGGCGAAGAAAAGCGGAATACAAGATATATCAATATTAACTGTTCGATGTTCATTCGACAGGTTTATCAGAATTCATCTGACATAGAACTGTATTTTGAATTTACCGTTTAAGGAAATTATTATTAGATCTACATTTACAAGCGGTTGGATGATATTGAAAGAAATCATCTCACTCGATTTTTTATCATTTTCTGACTAACTGATATTGCAAAATGGAATCGAACTGGCTGATACTATGAGTTCATTTTGCCAGTCTGGAGAATTTTTCGATGTTCTTTCTTGCATGCTTCAAATGTTATTTCTGTTTGACCTATGTGAAACATTAAACAGGATCCATACAACAATTTGTATGTTGTATTGTTGTCTTTATCACTTTGAATATGCCTGCTCGAGTTATTATTGGTTTTATAAGCCATTTCCATAGCAGGAAAATCGAATTTTTTTCATTGGGTTACCCCAAATAAGTTGATCGCAATGGGAACATCTACGGATCATTTTTGTTAGATCTTACTTTTTTGGGTTAGTATGGATTGATGGAAAAACTTTGAATGATAATAATTTATGTGTCGGCTTACTGGAAATTAAAAAAAAAAGTTATTTAATTATTTTATTTCATCTCCATAGTGGATATGATAATAATGTGGAGAGAATATTGAGTCTGAGTACTTATTCAGTTATGTATTTGTTCCTGCGAACATTGACATTTCTATACTAATACATTGGATTTTCCGATATAATTAGAGCTGGTCGTTGTTAAAGTAAACTCGCGAACACAAAAAACTGACGTTTTTTATAATATTGTTGGGCTTTTTCTGTAGAAGTACGTGTAGATACGTGGTTTGTTCTTTTCTCGGAATCAAAATGTAATCTTTCAGCGGGATTACGAAAAGTCTTGAACGACACACGGCCGATACGCGAATGAAGGATTCGGTTGTTATAATCCTCGGCTGCGCCTCGTATTATAATATTCAACCTCATCCGTTATTTGCTACAGATCGGCCTTGTTACGTTAATAACTTTAAGTGAGATAAGTAAAATCAGTAGGTCATCCAAAATAATATTATTGTAAGGTTATTATGAAGATATATCAGAAATGTGAAAAAGACCAATTATTTTGATTCCTTATGAAAAGACTTGTAAATTTTGTTTTCGTGACCATCATATGAAAAACGTTTGTTATAGGATGTTAAACAGTGCATTTCTTTAATGTTCTCCCCCTTTTATTTTTTGAAAGGGTCAACTCAAAAAATTGAAATTTGGAATAAGAGAATTAATGCATGAATACTTAATTTTAAAGTGAAATTGACAGATAAAACTTTCAAGATGGCGACTGGGCGCCATTTGGGAAAAAAATTGAATAGAAAGAGGGGTCTTGTACCACATCATTTTGAAGCTCCTAACGAATACGTCACAACCCTAGAATATGAAGTTAATATCTTCACCTACCACAAAATTGCGGAACTTTTAGTAATTCTGTTTAAAAAAATCTGTTTAAAATCTGTTTTTTCGTTAACCAGCTGTCGCACCCCTACGAACGACAACCCTCAGAAGTCGAAACTTATGCGAGATAAGGATTAACGAGGTCTCACCTTTTAACGTGTGATTCCTAACACGGGTTGGACGATAGCAAGTGAAGATCGATCGTTCAGACTAGGGCTTGAACCACCGACCAACACGGCAGTCAATTCGAGTGAGTGAACAAATCACCCACGCCGAACCGCTTGGCTACCGACCGACCATTGCCTGAATACATTGACATTTAACTACATAATAGGAGGTAATAAGCTTGAGGTCAGTTCAGAATATGCTCAAAATAGTTTCTTTGAACTTCTTGACATATGAACAGCCTATCTGATATTTCACGCCGAAAATTTTCGAACGCATTTGGTAAAACTAGAAGAAGCCAACCTACAATATAGTACGACTGAATAGTCCTTACAGGGTGGACAGGAAAGTTATTTTGAACCAGGTGAGTTTTCAAAGTCTATAGATTGAGAGTTGGAGGCAGATCAGCAGAGTCAGCTGAAGTTTAAACAGAAATATTTCCATGTGGAATTAAAATCTGATGTGAATGGGATAACAATCTAGAAAAAGCATCCAATATGGTGGAAATAAAGTTCATAGGAGCAATACAAATGTCTCTCACTGACAAAGCTTTTAGAAAAACTTCTGAAATTGATCTGGAATAGACTCATGGAGATGGCAATGTGGGGAGGTTGATCAGATCCATATAAGTGCTAGACTCGAAGGAACCTCAGGAAAAAACGTGAAAATAAATATCTGAGAATTCATAAAAATAAAAAGTGAATGGCAGACGTAGACGTAAAAGGATCGGAAATTTCACTTCACGAACTATGCGTAATTTTCTGTGTAGCGTCAATATCCCTACAAATATTTATTATTCTCTGCCGTATATCCGATATTGAAGCAGGTTCAGTTCATTACACCTTTTGCCTCATAAAGAAAGTATAAAGGTGTCAAATCTGGCGAGCAGGCTGGACATTCTGTTGGACCTCGACGGCCAATCCAACGACCGGGAAAAGTAGTATCCAAATAGTTTCTTTGTTGTCTGAAGTGATGTGGTGGTGCTCCATATTGTTGGAATATAATATCCATATCGAATTCATTAGGATGAGGATGAGAGGGTCAACAGTAGTTTCCAGCATATTCAAATACAGTTCCCCTGTTGAATATTGATCCATAAATAGGGGTCTTACAATATTATTTCCCAATATTCCTGTATTTCAGGATATTGGGTATTTGTTCTCAGGAAAACGTGAGGGTTGGTGTCACTCCAATAACGGCAATTTTATCTGTGAACATTGCTGTTTAAAAAAAAAGTACATTTGTCGCTAAAATAAATATTATGGGATGCCTTGTAATGGTTTCCATCATGATTTCGTAGAATTCTGTTCTTCGATCTGGGTCGTCTTCAGTTAATTGGTGTACCATTTTAATTTTGTATGGATGAGACCTATTCCTCTTCAAAAGTCTCCACACAGTAGAAGAAGACATCTCACAAACATTTGCGATGAAATAAGTAGTCTGTTCTGGATTGACTACCATTTCACCAATTATTTGCACTCGCTGTTCTTCCAGAATGGACAGATGACCTGGAGGCTTTTGGTAATATACACTATGTCACATATCCCATACTATTTTTCGAGCTGATTGAAATGCGTTTGTTTTAGTCAATAAATATTTTGTAATGTTGCTGATATATTCAAAACGTTAGATGAAAATGAATTGTTTCAATTCCATATCATCACCAACAGATCATAAGTAAGAATTTGAAATTATCAGTAATCCAAAATTACGGTATTCAAGCTAATGTGGAAGAGATCATTCCAAAAATGCAAGATTCCCAATTATTTTGATTTCCATTGAAAAACGTATTTATTATGTGTTTATGAACGTCGTCTGGAAGATTTTCATTTTGGAATGTTATATGAGAACCGTGCTTGTTTTAAATATAATGACAATAATTTTCGCTATCGTTACAGTTCACAATGAAACCAACGTTTGGAGAATCTGAAAAGTAATAAGTGATTCTAACTCACCGCATCTTCCAAACGGAAATATTTATCTTGTCTATTTGACACACATATCTGTGATGTGCCTAAATCAGCGTATGTTTCACAATAAGTTGAGAATATGCACAAGAAAAGAAAAAATATGATAAAATGTATCATTACATAATACTTTTTTTCATTTTCATGCATATTTTTTATAATTGTAATATATGTCCGAAACGTAAATATAATTGAAGTCATTTTACCTTTATTGAACGTCGTAGATTGAGAGTTATCGCTCTAAAATAAATGCCTATTCCATATACAATTTAATGGTTTCTTATCCTCTTTTCCATAATAGAAGTGGAAAGGTTTTCAACTTTGTAACTGATTATTAAGCATGCCCCGAAACAATCCACGTACGTACGCAAGAATCAAAAATAAGCTATAAACTCTACGAATTACAGAAATAGTAACACTGTTTGTCAAAATCCTCCCTCACCTCTATTCAACCACTTTTAATACCCTAAAAATCCTCACCTGCTGTTGATTTTCTCTTTGTATCTTCAATCTCGCCTCGATGCACTGCCTCGTCTCTAGGAAAGCCTTCCTCTGGGCCACCTCTCGAGGGTAATGGGTGCAAACTCCGGCTACGTTGCCGCACAGCAAGATCAGAAAGCAGCTGCCCACCTGAAACCGTCAACGTTTGTTAAAATAAGCCGCCGACAGTAAATACATTGTCTTATTATGTGACGCAGGGATGATGGGTCTGGCGAAGGGGAGATGATTTTATCAGCGGTAATGCTCATTAAGCCGATTGTGGCAAAATATTGCCGTTTATTATAAAAGAAGCCGGGGGCCAACTTAGAGATGAAGGGATTTTTCTTAGTGTCACTTCTTTTTGGGTTTCAAGGCCGTCGATTATTGTAATTTCTTACTGACGTTTCGGTGGCGTGAGTGGCTAGCTTCCTCAGAGGTTTATAGATCCTGAGTTCATCTCCGATGACTAGATATTACGACTGCGTAAAGCGTATTTATGTTGAGTTGGTGAGTTTGAAAACCGTTTCAATGTTGTGAGATATTCCGAGATATTCCAAACCTAAATCCAAAAATCTACAATCACATTTTATTTTGATGTTGAACATGAAAAATACCCCATTTTCAACCATTTTTCTAAATGTACTGTGATATTTTTGTGGTCAAATTTTTCACTTTTCATTACATAAGTTCATTTTCAAAATCAGCAGTGCTCTTTTTCCAATCAAATTATAAGTCAGATGATATACAAGAATGGGAATACTGAACTACACGCCTTCTTGAAACACATCAACAGCGTAAGACCATGCATCACTTTCACAATAAAGAAGGAAGTACACAACGAATTGCCATTCTTAGACGTATTGGTGAAGAGGACCGACACTGAGTGAGAAACCCACTCACACGGAACAGTATCTGAACTAGGAATCCAACCAGGAATCCAACCACCATCCATAAGAGATGAATCATCAAGACTTTACTAGACCGTGCTTTCGGTCTCTTCAATAAGAAGAAAGGTCTTGCGAAGAAACTAGACAACATCAAAAATGATCTTCAACGGAATCGCTACTCCGAAGCAATGGCGGAACAGACTTTGGCTACGAGACAGCGAAAGCCTCGCAAGGAAGAGAAGCCGTCACAACCAGTGCTTGCACTTCCCTACATCAGAGGATTATCGGAAAGGATAAGAAGAATTGGGTCGAAGTACAGAACCTGCTTCAGATCCAGAAATACTATCCGTAGCAGCCTCACGAAAACTAGGCTATCAAACGCGGACTGCGATTCCAAGAATTGCATTTACCGGATACCCTGCGAGTGCGGAGAATCATACTTCGGTGAAACTAAGAGGCTATTGAAAGTTCGCATTACCGAGAACAAGAAACACACACACAGCGAGGGGAAACCAGCAAATCAGGAATAGCAGAGCATGTTTAGAACCCTCAACATAACTTCGAGTGGTCCCCAGCTGAGATCATACACACGCTAGTTTAGGAGGAAATTCAAAAAAGCCGCATATATATTGTCCAACAATGTATTCAGCCAAGCTAGCGTAGAGATACGCAACATATGGAAACACATAATCAAGCAAAAAATTGCCAAACTACCGCCAAACAGTCATCTCCCTCTAAACCGGTGAAGCGGAAAAGGGGAAAGAGGAGATAAGTGAAAGTACTCAAATGAATCATAAATAGTCATCTCTCCGAGGAGAGAATTATGTCCTTCTTTGGACACATGATTACTGAGAGCATATCTCTCAGGATGTAATCTACTATCACTTTTATGTGAGCTGATTCTGTCTTTGAGTAATCTTGACGTTTGACTAATATATTCCTTGCTACAATTTAAGCATGGAATAGAATAAATTAATTGAGATTGAAAGTTAATTGGAGTTTAATCTTTGAGTTTAGAAAATAATTTATTGATGGTGAATATGGTTCTAAAAGCTATTTTTACATTTAAATCTTTGAAAAGTCTGCATAACTCTTGACGTAATATTCTTATTTGTATCTTGTGAGGAGTCAACCTCTTTTATTTTAATGACTTGTTTATTGTATTGACATGTTTCAATTGTGTAAATATAACATTATGTTCGACAAGGCCAACCTCACTAACAGTAAGTTGTGACCTTTTATATTGATAATTTGTATAGTGTATCATAATCATATAAATTTTGTAGCTTTTCCCTGAAGATGATAATAAATTTTATCGAAATATTGGAATAACTTGTGTTACAAGAGTACACTTCCGTTCTGCTGATCACCCAAAGATATTTTGCAAGTTTTGTTCTTAACTATGAATAAATAAGTAACTAATCTTTATATAGGTATTTCTAAGAGAAAACATTGATATTTGATAGCCGTGATAAACTTTCATAGCAAATGAAATATGTAATATGATAAATTGGGGGGTTTTAATTTGAAACGTCTTACAAAAATGATTTCTACTGGTAATTTTTCAGTCATGTGATAGATTTGCATTTGAAATCTGATGGATTCTGCATTCATTAGAAACAAGTGAAACGATTTCCAAAAGTGTAGAAGGAATGGAGAAGGAATCAAAAGCCATTTTTAATCAGTTCAATCCCAAGACATTTGAAAAATATAAGGGTGGTTTCTCTCTCTCTCTCTCATAGCGTTGAAGATTTTACAATGATCTATAGTAAAATTTTCTCTTACAGTTATGCTTTGAGGTACGTTTACTAGCCCACTTTTCATAACGAATCATTCACAACTGTTTTTTATCTTTGGATATTTTAACCTTCCAAAATTTGAAAGGCAAACTTTTTATTTCACCCAAATAAGTTACTGCGTAAATTCGGAATATTTTTCACAAAGAAAAATGTTTTATTCATCAGTCACTTGTCGTACTCAATTATTTTGCCTATCAAAAGAAGACCTGAGTAATTATACATACTTAAGGTTTCGGAGTCTCANAAGTTATGATAATCAGTTTTCATAAATGGACAGAATTTAGGTTTACACGCAGTTTTTTTTTACAACTCCTCAGTTTTCAGATTATGGAAGTGAAAATATCCAAAGAAGTTGATAAAAAACTAATTTCTTCTCACAAAAAATTACTTTCTTTCGGTTCAGAACCTCTTATTGCATGAATTTCCATCAAACCAACGGATTTAAAGTTAGCAACTGGTGAGAAACTTGCCTAAAATCCGGCAAGAAATCAGAAAAACGGCTCACCTGATGTTCCATTCAAATGAAGGACAAAAGAGCGGAAGGAAACACTGAAAACTCACCTCCGGGAAACCGCCGAGCTCACCCACGTAGACGAGGAGAACAATTTCCGTCGCCGCTAATATACTTCCGGACAATAGAGCGTCTTTGAGTCGATTCGGCATGAGGGCGTACGTCAAATAAGTGGAAGCCAGAGCGAAAGTTGTACCCAGCAAGGGCCTTTTGTCGCCGAAAAAAAACGAGATGCAGATCTGAAACAGAAAATTTGCTTGTGATTATTTCCTTCAATGCATGAAAAATGTGAAAAAGTTTAAGGGGGTGCAGCTTTGGCAGAGTTTTCTGGCGGTTTATTCGAATCAACGCAGTTGATATGTATGGTCTCTTCTCGTTATTCCCTCAATACTCCGAACTCTGCTAAAAACTGAAGTATTCATATTTTCTCTTATATCTGATACAGAATCATCCTTAACAACTTTCACATTTTCCACAACAGTATTATCAACATTTGGAACGGTTTGAACATTTTTTCTGTCGAACAAATTGATTACTTCCTTCCTTTCTTTGGAAGATTCCCTCATCCCTTTTTTTGTATCAAGATGGAGTAGTAGAAAGCCAAAAACTTCCTTTCCCAAAAAATTAATCACTTCTGGAATCTTAACCAAGTAAGTAGATTTTCCGATTTTCCTGAAAATGAGTGCTTTAATCCCAGTTACTTTAGGCATTCTATAATCTTCAACAGTGACACTTTCGTTTTCAGAAAACTGTGTAAATCTTTTGCCTGCATAATCTTTCACTTGTTTGGCTAGCTGTTTCGAGACACGCTTCTTTAAACCACAATTTTCCTTCATTTGGTTTTAGCAAATCAAATCTAGTACGTAATTTTCTTTGAACATCAACCATGCTGGATTGACCCCTGTAGTGCGACGATATGTGTTACGAAAATCAAACAAAAATTGTTTAAGGGGATACTGGTTCCTAAATTTTCATTTTTGCATAGTGCAGTTTTCATGTATGCAGTTTTTATGGCATTCTCAGCTGTACCATTAGAAGAAGGATGAAAAGGAGGGAAATAGATGTGTTTGATACCATTCAAAGACAAAATGGTCTGAAATTCATTTGAACAAAACGTTGTTGCATTATCAGATACAACTTGATGAGGTAATCCGAATCTGGCAAATAGAGTTCGGAAAATACTAATGGTTGCCCTTGAAGTGATTGAATTCATGATAAACAATTCTATCCACTTTGAATGTACATCTATGACTATAAAAAATATTTTTCTAAAAATGGACCCATAAAATCTGTGTGTAACCTAGACCATACCTTTGTTGGCCAAGGCCAAGGATCAGGAACAGCCTTATTAAGAGAGTTTTTATGTAACAAACAGTTGTCACATAACATGGACATCTGCTCAATATTTTCATCTAAACTAGGCCACCAGAAGTATGACCTAGCAAGACTTTTCATTTTCACCACTCCCAAATGAAATAAATGGAAATTATTCAAAGTATTTTCTCTCAATGTAAAAGGAATAACTGATCGATTGTTCCACATTGAGCAATCATTCTCCACACTAAGTTCGTTTCTAATTCTATGGTACGGTTTCACAGAATCCATTATCTTTCCTGGCCATCATTTTTGAGTATAATTTATTATTTTCGATAATTCAACATCTTTTGAAGTTTCTTCTCTTACCTGTTCAAATTTAATTTGGCAATGATCATTTCTATCGTGCAGCAAGAACACTATCACTTAGGTTTGAAATGTTCTGTTAATAACGGACACAACTCAGAATACTTTTCGTTTCAGGTTCAGGAATACACAAATTGTGAACTAATTAATAACCCTCTTCGTTGAGAATGTTCAATAAAATAGCACTTTTTCGCTTATCGTCTGGAATTTGGTTGGCCACAACATAGTTTTCCAATCTTTTCTTGAAAATCTAACAGTCAGATTGAACCGGGTCAAATTCACGTAAATATGTATTCCGTAGCCATTTTCCTTGAAAACACAAAAAATACGTTCGTTCATCAAACAAATGAAGCAGGCGACCGCTATTAACAAACTAGGCAAGGTGAAAAGACTTGCATGTTCAGGAATGACGGGAGCAATGAGAACTACCCCAACAGCTGCATTGGAGACACTTCTGAATCTACCTCCTTTACACTTTGTAATAATGGGGGAGGCCAGGATGGGCCAATTCAGACTGGAAAACTCACTGAACTACATAAAATTGGACCGAACAGAAGTTTCGGAACATGTGGAGGAGCGCATATTGAATATGTACACGGACAATATGACACCGAAGTACACCTTGAACACAAACTTCACAGCTAAAAATCATAAGCCGTGACGAATGGACGACCATTAGTAATCCCGAAAACATGTTTGGCAAAAACACCTGGTATACAGATGGATCGAAAACCAAACATGGAACGGGAGCTGGAATATACCGAGTGGATAGAAATTCAAACTACAGTTATCCGCTAGGACTATACACATCCGTCTTTCAGGCGGAAGTGTATGCTATCTTGCAGTGTGCAAAGCTTATTGAATTGAGACCTCAAAGAAATGAGCGGATCAATACTTTAACAGACAGCAAGAGCGCACTAGGGGCTCTGACAAACTCGAAGATGACAGCAAAATTGATCTGGGAATGCCATGAAGAACTGAATGAACTTGCTAGCAGGAACAAATTAACTTTGTACTGGGTGCCAGGGCATTCAGGAATCACAAGTAATGAAAAAGCTGATGAATGTGCTAGACGCGGATCATCAACTTCATATATAGGTCCTACACCAGCTCTGGGGGTACTAAAATCATTGGTACGAAACCAGATTGTGGCATACACCAATAAGAAGCACACAGAGTACCGGACTAAAGTACCTGGCAACAAACACAGTAGAACCTTCATTAGGGAACCGTCCGAGAAAAGAACCCAAGAACTAGAACTAGGGATCGGCTCAGAATAATTACAGGGTTACTAACCAGTCATTGTCCGCTAAGAGGACACCTGAATGAAATGGGGCTGTACAACAGAGACCTCAGCTGCAGATTATGCAACGAAGGGATAGAAACAGCTCTAAACATCTTATGTGAATGTAAGGCACTGAATCACAGGAGGCAGCCAATATATGGAAGTACAAAATTACGTCCAGAAAAATATGACGAATATCCAACACGGAACCTGTACAAACTAGTACAGGGAACGAGACTGATGGAATGGGTGTCATGAGAAGATGGAAGAATAAACACAATAAACCCAAGAGGCTGCAGTGTTTTCTGGAGACTTGAATTAAATGGACAAGCCAGACAGCTCCCAAGGGACCAAAAAAAAAGGAAGGGAACATTTATTAAATGCAATATTCACAAAAAAATGAAAACAATGGACCAATTAACTGGCCAGCTCGATTCCCAGATCTTACTTCCTTATATCTCAAACAAAAATTAGATATGCATGTAGTAGTATTGCAGCTATTATTCTAGAAAATCGCCACAGAAATTGTATGGACCGACAACTTATGTGCATTCAACAAATAGGTCGTCAATTTGAGCATTTAATGTAGATTGCCATGTAGCTCTTCCCAAAAGTTCATGATAAAATAAATTATTTATGGCTTCATCAATATCTGTAATGAATAAAACAGGTCTGTATTTTAAAAGAAGTTGATGGTGGCCATGTTGACACGAAACGTTTTATTCAATATTTATTATTACATCGTCATAGAACATCACGTCATAGAATACAGTTACATTTTCATTTTCCATTTTTTTATATTCTCCTAAATAACAGTTCCATTCGAAAGAAACAAAAAACATCATTTTTGGTTTTCCCCATATAACTCGAGAATGGCGAGAGTCCCTGTACATTTTCTTCGACCATTGTATTGTTCCCGATGACAGTTACCTTTTTTCCCATTTAATCGTCTTCGCATCTGTTACGGTTTAGAATACAGAAATGATACCACATGATAAAAGCAACGGCCTGTATGAAAGCACCAATCTGGATAACATCAAAAGTATGAGAATCACTCGAATAATTCATGGAATTACGACTTAATGTCACGAATGAGTTGAATCTATCCGTGTCGTCGAAGACAGTACGTAATCACATTGTTTTTTATAAAGATGGAGAACTAGAAAGTCAAAACCTGTCTTTCTCATTGTATACAGTTCACATAAATACTCTTCTCTAATTTGTTTATGGCGTTGCTATCATCAATCATAATTTGTTTCCACACAGTGTCGTTTCCAACCTTAGAGGATCCATTAGCATAATGTTTCCAGAGCTACCTTATAATGAAGTGTAACTTCTCTTAGAGCCTCAACATCGAGATTGTTTCCTTCCATCATTCCAATGAAAGGGTAACCAGAATAAACCCATCGCAGCTGTTGGGGAAATTTCAATTGCATCGCATAAAAATGTTAATGAGGCTGAGGGTTTCATCTTTCGGTTTGAAACTGATGTCCTTTTGACGTCCCGAATGATAAATTTCTGTATAATTCGATCGAACTGAAGCTGTCTCATACTTTATGCATAAGCTTTCATTATCGTACGAGTGAATATAGCATAACGCTTCGTCGAGTTTGAGGGAAATCGACTGGAGAGGTGAAATGAGAAAAACTTGTATTTTTCGTTGGGATGGAAAATATGTAATATGTTCAAAATGACCTCGGTTGAATTAGAAAGAGTTACCTATTTCTTAGAAATAAGTGAAGTGAATAAGATCGAAAATAATCTGAATATTATAAGTTTTACTTAAACTGTACAGTGCCGTATTCGAAAACAATTTTGGCACTTTTAACAAACCTTCAAAATTTTATAAAGTGCGCCCTGTTTTATTCAGCTTGAAACCTACAATAGAGAATGAATTGATTTATGATATTTTAATTGAAACAAAATGGTGAAGTGGTTGACTCTGTGTAACCCCTCAATCCTCTACTGAGGTAGAGGATTGAGTATTTGAGTATTTGTTTAATCAACTACAAGGTGGTGAAAAATTTTCAAAGATAAATCTTTCTGAAACCTACTAGCAAGTGTTATTGTCACAGCATAGTCAAAAGTTGGTTACAACATCTACCGACAAGGGGTTATTTTCTTTCAAACTGTTTCCATATGGAATATATTGTGCTCCATTTATTTTTCAAAAATGAATGGATAGTTATTTCACAATTCCCAGGATAGTGTGTTCCGTAGATGATCATCTTATCACAGGCAAAGATGACAAAGAGTATTACGAAAGATTTAGAG